AAAAAAAAAAAAAAGAAAAAAAGAAAAACCCTAAAAAAGGAATAATGATAAAATATGTTTAAATAAGAGCTAAAAAACTCATTATCTAGACATATGAACGGAGTTAGGCAAAAGTTAATAAGAAAGGATAAATGGTCATTGAAATTAAAAACCTGATAGGATTATATATAAGAAATTGAGGGAACTGGGATAGATGTGAGGTAATGATATAAAGACAATGAGATAAAGAAAACATGAAAAATAAGGTCCAATATATTTGATAATGATCAAATAGAACAACAGAAGGGAAGATAGAAAGTGGAGATGATATTTAAGTAGAAATTAGCTTAAAATATTCCTGAAATAGTGAAAAGCACAAATTTATGGATTAAGTGGAAAAAGATACAACAAGCAGAATAAATAAAGAAAAAAATTCCTGGGCGATGCCTGTGGCTCAGTGAGTGGGGCGACAGCCCCATATACCGAGGGTGGCGGGTTCAAACCCGGCCCCAGACAAACTGCAACAAAAAAATGGCTGTGTGTTGTGGCAGGTGCCTGTGGTTCCAGCTACTTGGGAGACTGAGGCAAGAGAATTGCCTAAACCCAGGAGTTGGAGGATGATGCTATGAGCTGTGACACTACAGCACTCTATCAAGGGCAATAAAGTAAGACTTTGTTTCTAAAAACAAAAAAAAAAAGAAAAAAATTCCTGTCCTGGGGAAATTGTGGAACACCAAAACAAATATATAAAGCACTGAGAATGAAAAGCATAGCCCTTACCAAAGAATGAAGGTTAATGTGATGGCTGACTTCTAAATTGCAATGATATGTGCCAGCAGATAATGAAAGTGTATTTCCAAAGTGCTAAGATAAAATAATTGTCAACCCAGAGTGACATACCCAGTTTTCGTTAAATAAAGACATTAAATATTCGCAAGTCAATAATTCTTCCTGAAAGAACTATAAACTAGGTGAGTACTTTAGGTTGAAGGAAATTCAGTTAAAAAGTGAAATGTAAGAATGAATGAACAAGAACTGTTCTAAATAGGAACTAATACATAAAACAAAAATAGCAGTAATGATTATAATGGTTAATTAATTAAAGGAGTATGAACAAATTGTTCTTAAACTACCAGATATAATATGTAAGATTGAGAGGTTTAATAAAGGTAAAGGATGATGTGATTCTGGGATGATCAGGAGTATTTAGAGCTGTTGTACTAAAATTTTAAGGTTTGTAATAAAAGGAAAAATTATAATAAATGTAAGTGGCCTGGATTTACTACATAAAGTAGATTGTTAGGTTGGATTGAAGGTAACAAACTAAGTTGATTGTTAATAAGAAATTCAACTAAAATATAGTCACAAAAGTGTTGAGTATAAAAAGGATAGAAAAGATTTATCAGGCAAATACAAGCCCAAAGAAAACTGAGGTGGCTTATGCTAATCTAAGATTTAGTAGTCTTTAATGGTTACAAAAGGACTTTACGTAATAATAAAAGATTCAGTACTCAGAAAGATATCTAAACTTGTATGCACACAGATATAAAATATATAAAGCGTAAATCGAATGAAGTAGGAAAAAAGCAAATTCACAATTCAGTGTGCCATTTTAACAGTTTTTCAGTGATTATAAATTAAGTTAGATCAAGAGTTTGTGAGAATATTGAGGATTTTAACACAAAAGTACAAGTTAATTTCACATAACAATAAGTCATAATGGCAATTGTAAAAAATTTAGACATGATAATTAACATGTTACATTTTGAAACTTATGGAACTTAGCTTAAATGTAACTTGATAGCCAAGTGGCCATTTTAAGAAGGTTAAGAAACATCAGAATAAACTAAGTGTAAAAGGAAGAAAACAGTGAAGAGCATGAATTAGTGAAATAGAAAACACAGTGATGTTCCACCAAAACCCAAAATTGGTAGTTTGGAAAATGTATTAAATAGGCAAATGCTTCACAAGTTGAATTAAAGAATGGGACATGATATCAGTATACAGTTTTAGAATGAAATGAACACAGGCATGGAAAAGATCAAAACACAATTCAGTGAACAATATGTTATACTAACATATTAGACATTAGAACAAATTTCTAGAAAATTAAACTTGCCAAATTTGTCTCGAGAGAAAATCTTGAGTATCTTTTAACCAATAAAGAATTTTAATTGGCTTTAAAAATTCTAGCTATAAAACAAAACTCTTCCTTTCAAATGGTAGCAGTAACAACGTTAACAATAATAATAGCTCAGAACTCAAACCAGCAACAAAAGAACCTAAACCCTTCACCAGGAAATTTCTATTGATCAGTTAAGTGGCACACAGTCCTAATCTTCCGTAAACTTAAGCTTATAGAATGGAAGGGATACTCCATAACTCAGTGTTTGAGCAAAGCATGATCTTCCTGGGGAAACCTGGAAAGAACTAAGCAAGAAAAGAGAATCATAGGCTGATTGAACTTGTGAATACAGTCTCATAATCCAATATAGAGTAATAGACAGCTTCTAAAATGGTATAGTACTATTGATGATGAACAAATCAGCTTTATTTTAGGAATACAAGGATGGATGAACATTAAACAGTGCTAGAGAGAGACTAATATTTGTTTACATTGGTAGATCAGAGAAAAATATTAACATGGAAGAATGATAAATTTATGATAAAAACTCTTGGCAAATTTAAAGTAGAAAGGAACTGCCTTAAACTGATATGGAGGTATTTGTGGTGTAATATTTAATGATGAAATGTTGAAGTGTTATCTTTGAAGTTAGGAACATTGTAAAAATGTTTTGGTCAGATAAAAGGGAAGTATACTATACCTAGTCAGCATTATACTGGGGTCTTAATTTCGTGGAATAAAAGACAATATAAAAGGATTAGAAGGAAGAAAAAAAACTAAATTTATTTGTAGATGATATGTGCAATAAATAAAACTGTACACATTCTAGAACAGATAAAATTATGAAAGGTCACTAGATACAAGAATATACAAAAATTGGTTAGCATAATTTCAAAAAATTGTCACCTATAGCTTTAATAAAGACATAAGTTACTTAGAAATTTGATAAAGTTGGCATGACCTTTATGTTGAAGATCATTGTAGTTGACTAAAAAAGGATAATGGAAGAAACATTGAGAGATTTGTTATTTTTTATTGTTATTTATGGAAGAGGAGACAGTCAGTTTTCTGCTTACTGGGCAATTATTTAATTAAAACAGAAACTGGTAGCATGTGGTTATGTGTATAAATTGACAAGCTGAATCTAAAATTCACATGGGAAAGCAAGTGGCCAGTAATAACAATTTTGAAGAACAAGAGAGTGGAGACCTGGTGTTGATACATTATTTTCATACTTCCCTTTGACTATCATCAGGCAGTAATAGACAAAGGAACATTGGAAGTACTGTAGAATTTATAAGTGGATGCATGGTTATGTAGAAGCTGAGAGAGCATGTATTACAAGTCATTGAAAAGAGCAATGGACTACTTAATTACTATGGCAGTTGGTTAGGTGGAAAAAAACAAAATCAGATTACATTTTGTACCATACATAAAAAATACAGCTGGAATAAAGATATAAATCTGAAAAGTATTTCTTTAAAATTTTATTTGGAACTAAAAAAAAGTCTTCATAAACTCAGGGGTAGGAATGACTTTCTTAAGAAAGATGTAGAAATCAGAAGCCAGGCAAGAAAAGACGGATATATTTGATTGTACTGAAATAAAAACTTCTATCCACAATAGCCAAGATACAGAATCAACCTGTGACTATTAGGAGATGAATGGATAAAGAAAATGTGGTGTTATATACACAATAGAATATTACTCAAAAAGAATTAAATCTTATCATTTACAGCAACATGGATGGAACCAGAGGTCATTAGTTAAGTGAAGTAAAGCAGGCACAGAGAGATAAATATGTGTTCTCTCTCATCTGTGGGAGCTAAAAAAGTAGAGCTCATGGAGGTTGTGAATAAAATGGTGGTTACCAATGGCTGGGAAGGAAATGAAGTTGGGAAATTAGAGAAGGTGGTTAAGGGGTACACAAATAGAAGGAAAGTTCTACTATTTGATAGTATAGTAGGGAAATTAGTTGACAGTATTAATGTATTTTAGTTATTTCAGAATAGGTAGAAGATTTCTAATACTCTCAGCCCAAGGAAAAGATAAGTTTTTGAGGTGATGGATATTTCAGTTACCCTGATTTGATCATTACACATTGTATATGTGTGTCAAAATAGTAATATATCAAAAGTCATAAAAAAAAAACTTCTGTATACTTTAAAACATCATAAACATTGTGAAAAGGTAAACATAGATTAAGATGTATTACTATACACATACAGATGGTTCCTGACTTGGGATGGATTAACTTATAATTTTTTGACATTATGATGGGGCTTTTGGGGTATTAAATTAATTTGACTTACAAGGATATAGCCTCATAAGTCAAAGACCAAAGTTTATTGTATAGAATTTATAGAGAAATTTTACAAGTAAGAACAAGAAGAAACAGCTCAATTGAAAATGGCAAAGATAGAATTTACAGAAAATTATTTCTCATATATATGAGATATATTAGTTAATGTTCCTACATAGCAGAATCAGTAATAAGCTGAAGCATATTAAAATACTAAACAGCAGTTAGAAATGAATGAAATAATATCATACAAGCATCAAGGTGGGTAAACCTAAAATTAAGTTGAGTGAAGAATATAGAGTATGCCTGTTCACTGTAACATGTTTAAATTGGAGTAGTGACTCCAACTTTAGATCTTTAGTTTCTTCCATGTATATCATTATCAAAGTCTCTTAGAAACACATTTTCTTAAGATATTTTTTCTCGTACCTTTCCTCCCTGTACGTGACCATTTATTCTGTTTCCTGTTGTATCCTTGGACTTACTTATACTCTGAGATGTGCTTGAGTAAATCTGGTTTCCCACAGCTCCCACCAAATCCTTCCTCACCTGTGGGATCCCCTCATTGATGTCCGCAGCAAAACCCAGTTTAAAGTTTTACAATATTTTGGGTCTTCTGGACCTAGAGTGGAACAGCCTCTGTATTGTACTCAGCTGAACTGATTTGACTTGAGGACTAGATTTAGAGTGACTGAGTATCTCTTTTGCTATCTAATAATATATTTGTTGAACATTTTATGTAGTTTTCATTATGTTATGAATAAGAAGCAAATATAGTATCTTTGCATGGAAGGAATCTTAAGATCCTTGTAGTCCACTTACTCTAAGAAAAGTGGCTTTGCCTTCTCCATTTTATTCTAATTGAGTCTTGCCTTTTTCACTTATTTACTCAAATACAGGTAATATTTTGCTTAGAGTTATGTAATATAGATATTTATGTTTTTCAGAATTTAAACAAGCAAGCATATGATTTGGCAAAGGCATTACTGAAGAGGACAGCTCAAGCTATTGAACCATATATTACCAACGTAAGTCTACTTGTAATTGGTTTTCAGAAGGATTAAGCCAAAATCTTTAAGACTTGCTAGAAAAAAAATTTCAGCAAGTAGTATATATTTTTGACCTTTGAGTTATGTATTTTCTTTCTGTTCCTTAATTGAAATTATTGCTTAATATTTTCTGGAAGAATAACTTTCATCATGTTTGGTTATTCATTTGCTTCTTTCATGTTGCCTGTGAACTAAAACAGCTTTTATTTTGGTTAGCAAGCTATATAGTTTCTACTGATAGAAATATAGTTAAATGTAATTAGATAAAACATATGGAACTTTTTATTATTCAGAGAAATTGGTTACAACTTTTTGTAGATTGTATTGATTAGAAGATATGAACTAATACCAAGATCTAAAAGTTGAAGGCAAAATGAATGGGAATAGTGATTTGGTGAAAATTACTTGTCTGTTGCTATTCCTGGGGTAGACTCCATGTAAATCTATCTTCTCTGAAAAAGGAAGAATTGCCATGAAATGAGCTTTTTCAATATCACTCCAAATGTACTTTTTATGATGACCTTCTTGTATTTTTGGAATAAATGTTTTTTAGCTCCTAGGTTAACTAAGAGAAGCTTCTAGTAAGTTCTGTTTTCTCCACAGTTCATTGAGTTGCACAACTCTGGGCACCATTCATACGGCATTCTATGTGAATGTCCCCTCGTGGAACACAAATACAGAATTTGGTGTTAATGGTCTTCTTGAATAAAGAAATTACTTATGTATTTAATTCTCTGGAAGTTAATTGAAGGAGAGTTTTTCTTGTATTTTACAAAAATTTAAAGTCAGTGTGTAATGAAATATATCACAGAAAGATATATTTTGGAAAGTGGCATACTTCATAAAACAGTACCTTTGTAAACGCACAGCTTTTTTTTCTTTTGTTGCCCATGATGTCCCATCTCACAAGAACCTCAAACTATTGGGCTTAAGTAATTCTCTTGCCTCAGCCTTCCAAGTACCTGGGACTACAGGCACCCACCACAACACCAGGCCACTTTTTGTTGTTGTTGTTGCAGTTGTCATTGTTCTTTAACAAGACCCAGGCTGGGTTTGAACCCGCCAGCCTTGGCGTATGTGGCCAGTGCCGTAACCACTGAGCCATGGGCGCTGAGCCAACTCACAGCTTTTGTTACTGGCTTATGACCTTAAAGAATTCAGAGCACATGGTGATTTGGAAAAATGAATTTAATTTGTAAAGAGATTGTTTAGAATTGTGAACTTTCAGAAGCTATAGAATCGAATTCTGTGTAATCAATCTTAATAGGTCTATGATTGGTAGGGAACTCCAAATATTGGTTTCTGTAGTTTTGTGAGTGTTGGGTATATATTGGTTGGATTGAGTTTTTTGATTATTGACTTAGTAGGACTTATAAGTGTATAGACCCTGACTTAAGCATTCTGGGATTAATTACCCTTTCTCATTCTTTTGGCTGCAAGTGACTCCAAGTGACTATTTCCATAGCCCATAAGAGAATACCAGGCGAGCTCCTCCTAGTGGTCATTTAGTTAAACAACTGCTGCCAAGCTGAATTTTTTTTTTTTTTTAGAGGAACACTTCCTTATCTCTTCTTTTTCTTGTACAGAAGTAAGAAAAGAACACTATTCCATGTAGATGTGTTTGCTGTGATTGGGGAAAATAAATATTTGATAGGAGTAATTAAAGGAAAAAAAGCCCCTGATAGAATGATGCTATTTGTTGGAGCTGGGTAATTAGGTTCATTATACTATTCTCTCAACTTTTGTATGTTTGAAATGTTTATAATAAAAACGTAAGAAAGAGGGCCAGAGAAATATTTGCAGCAGTCTCAGATAAATCAAGGTAATTTGTCACTTACACTTTATGTTAATAATTTCTTGCTGTTCTTGCCAACAATAAATAGAACCCTCCTTCCTTATTAATACTTTATCAAAAGCTGGTGAGCAGGAGTTGGAGGACTAGCAGAATAGTCTGAGGACACTTTCAATTATGTGCTTATTCCCAGTATCTTGTCCATTATTTTCTTATCTCTGTTTTTTTGTTCCCTGACTTATTTGTGGGTTAACTAACAAGTCACTAAGAATTGCTTTTTTCCTCCCATTAATACTGTTATAAGTTTTAATATTTTTCTACCACAAACCAATATAATTACATGTAAAATCACTTTCTAGCGAACTTAATTGTTTTATTGTAGGATAAAATTAATACAATGTTGGAAATCATTCTCAGCTCTTTTGGACTTACAGATGAAATAGCCATTATTGATTTATCTTCCTAGTATAAAATTACCAAGTAAAAATACAAGTAGGATACTGAGGTAGTAATAAACTCGTTTTCCTCTCTCTCTTTTATATGTTACTTTTTGCCTCATGCATACACATTCAAGTTTGTTTTTTTTTTTTTTTTAGTAGATAGTGATCCTTAGATTTAGAAAGACTGTGGTGTTGCAGGTTACTTTTCAAAATAAAATTTGTTGTAACATGACATCCCAGGAAATTCAAAATTACATGTATGTTTTTAAAAGGTAAAACAACATCAAAAACAAGAAGTACGTAATGACACTTCAGAACATTTCATACATAGGCTGGGTGCGGTGGCTCATGGCTGTAATCCTAGCACTTTGGGAGGTGGAGGCGGGGAGACTGCTTGAGCTCAGGAGTTCAAGACCAGCCTCAGGAGTTCAAGACCCTGTCTCTAATAAAAATAGAAAAAACAGGTGTTGCGCTGGGCTCCTGTAGTCCCAGCTACTGGGGAGGCTGAAGCAAGATGATCACCTGAGTCCAAGAGCTTGAGCCCAAGAGATTGAAGTTGCTGTGAGTTACTAGTAATGCCACAGCACTCTATCCAGGGCCAGAGAGTGAGACCCTGTCTAAAAAAAAAAAAAAATTCCTACATAGATCATTTCTGAATGATGTCATTATTTTTCACCAGCTCTTTTTAACTGCAAGTTTAGGATACATGAAAGAAATTATCCTGTTGAATTGAAAATGTATCAAATCCTTGTTGAAACACATAGAATTTTAATTAAGGTATTTAATCTTACTGTCTGTTTTTGCATCTGTAAATTGGCATTAAAAACGATTCAGTAGTGGTAGAGAATGTGTTATTTAATGTGAAAGCACTTTCATAATTAAAAATCATGTAAATCTAAGTTAGAATTTGTGACCTGTGATGTCTTTTATTTTGCAGTTATATTTATCAAAAAATATAACTTGTATTATGTAAATTAGTTACCTATTTATAAAAAGGTTAATGATTTTTTGATCAAATTTATATCTACCTCTACTAAATTTTAAGCCCTATGAAGATCCTGGATTGTTGTACTCATGTTTGTATAATAATGTTGCATATTACTTAATTCCATTAGCAAATATGTATCAGATAAGTGGTGCCTACTCTTTGTTAGACATGTAGGAGGCTCTTGTTACACACTAGAGAAGACCAACTAGGTTACTTACTGCCTTTTTGTAGATAGTATGTGTTAAATACATGTGTTTCATGGAATTTATGAGACATTAAAATGGAATTTTTAAGAAGAATATGGTTTGACAACTATGGTGGCCAGATCAGAAAGGATTATTATTCTTTTTTAAGAAAAGGTAGATTGATGGATTTTATTTTCCTGTGTTTTAAGCAGTAGAAAATTTGTGAGTGGAAGCAAAATAGTCACTTTATTTTGAACCTGTGTAAGAATTTAACCTTTGATATCATGTAATTCTTTCCCTACAAAATTGGTAGGACAGGCATACTATTTTTTACATGAATAAAGAATAGCAAAATAGAATTGGTTCTTTTCTCCTCTCTCCTTCATAGTTAGGTAGTTTATACCAGTTCATAGACGTAAAAAACTTTCCTTAATAACAACCTGAATACTAAAAGTAAGTAAGTAGAAAAACAGAAATGTGAAGTTCTCAACTCTGTACTTTCAATACAGAAAGCAAATACTCAATTAAGCCAAGTTATGTGTTGCTGTCACAGAAGAAAGATCAGGGCAGCTTGTATGGTATAAGGAATCCTTACCACCTCACTCGTTGCGAATATGTAGTGTATGCTATGGGTTAATATAACATGTATATTATGCTTTTGGGAGATTTCAGATAGCAAGAAACTTGGCTGCTAAGCCATGAATATCTTTGCCAGTTTCAGTAGTAATATGATGAGTAATCTGAGTGTGGAATTAAAGCTAGCTGTCTGATGGGGAAAAAAAGGTTAAATTTGTATTATCCTTACGTTTGTGCTTTTAATTGGATTTTAATTGGGGTGTAAACTTTGTGTAAATGTACACGTTGTTTATTTAAATGTAAAAGAACACCAAAAAGATTAGAAAGATTGTTTTGCATTAAAAATACAAAAATTACGTATTTTAAAAATAGAATTGGCTTCTTCCTATGAAGGGTTAGAAAGCTTTACCTTAGATACTCTTGTCTCCCATATATGCTAAAGTGAACAAGAGGTTATTTTGTGCCCTTAAGGAATTTATCCAGTGAGGAGAATAAGGCATTATATTGGTTCGGGTTCTCTAGAGAAATAGAAAATGTCCCATAGTAGGCCATCTGCAACCTGGAGAACCGGGGATGCTGATGGTGTCACTAAATCAGAGTCAGAAAACCTGAGAACCCAGAGGAGTGCCAGTGGGGCAGTTCCTGGAGTCCAAAGGCCAGAGAACCTGGAGTTCTGATGTCTGAGGACAAGAGAAGAAGAGTGTGTCCCAGCTCCAGAATTTGCCTTTCTTCTGCCTTTTTGTCTGTTGAGCCCTTGCATCCTCTAGGATGGTGCCTGCGCTCTTGAGGGTGGATTTCCCTCTGTTTACTCTATATGCCAATCTCTTCTAGATACACCCTTGCAGACACACCCAGAAATAATGCTTTACCAGCTACCCAGGTATCCCTTAGTGCAGTCAAATTGACACCTAAAATTAACCATCACAGAGATGTATGCAGTAATATTGTAGCACAGGATGTAATAAATCTCATGATGAAGAACAAAGTATCTTTGGAAAATAGGGTGTTTATTGAAATGCTAATGGATGAGTCAATACAATTCACTTATTTGTTTCATTGTGATTAAAATGAATTTTGTGCTTTGCCTTTTTTGTGGTCTGTAGGATTAGAAAATATTAGAAAATATTTTGTCATGCCTAGTTTGAATATAATTTACAATTATTCTTTGTATAGAGTAATAATGAATTTGATTGAATAATAATTAAGATTTTAGAAAATTTATTTTATTTATGATGTTTCTCCTAATGATAAGTTTTCTTTCTCCTCAAAAGTTTTTTAATCAGGTTCTGATGCTTGGGAAAACATCTATCAGCGATTTGTCAGAGCATGTCTTTGATTTAATTTTGGAGCTCTACAATATTGATAGTCATTTGCTGCTCTCTGTTTTACCCCAGCTTGAATTTAAATTAAAGGTAATTATTGTGAAAATAATGATTCTGTCAACCAAGCTAGGAAAGAGTATTGATTATGACTTTTATATGTTTATAGTAGTTTTAACTGAATGTAACAGGTGAGGGGACGTATTACTTTTATTTATTCACATGTTTGTTCCATTGCTTATCTGTGTATCTCCAATACCTGGCAGATTCCTAGCAAATAGTAGGTGCTTAATAAATAGCAGGATGATATTTTTTCTTAATATATTTTTGAGATAAATTCTAGGACTTGACTAATTTGACAGTTACACCTGTATATCAAGCTTATGTTTTCAAGGTACAATTTATAGCAGTTCCCTTGACTACTTGATCAGGCCATAAAAATAAAATTTATTATCCACATGGTATAAAATGCTTTCCCTTTTTGTGCATTATCTTGATTCAGGTTCTCTATTTCAACAGTTGCCTATGTTGAAAGTGCGTTTGTTTTTACATAGCTGTTTTTTGTACCTGTTCCTATTGCTTTGACATTATACTGTAAAATTGAGTTTTACTTGCAGAATTGGGGTGTATGCTTCCCCCCCCCCGCAAATCCTTACAGGGAGTGTAGATAAAGCTGATTATAATTATTAATCTTTGATGGATCCCAGAGTATCAACCAAAAAAGTTCTTTAATGAGTTCCATGTTATACCTAAACGTTGGGTTTCTTTTAAAACAAATAAAAACAGTCTGTGTTGGTAATGTTTGGTATATTTCTCAAGTGAACTATTCAGTTAGCTGATTTGCTTGCCCCCCCCACCCCCCCTTTTAACCAGTTTTGGTGAGGGAGTCACATCTCTAATTATTTGTTGGGTTTGTCTGATTTTCTCTAGTAAAAATATTGAGTAGATGTTATATACATGTTCCTACACACTGTGAGAAATATAAAAATAAGGAAATTAACCACCATGCTTTCAGCAAACTTAACCTCTAGTGTGGAAGAAAAAGGAAAAAATATCCAGATCTCATAAGAGGCCAGATACTGTGTCATAAGAGATAACAAACCTCATGCAATTGAGGCAAAGGAAACAGTGTACAGACGCATATAGAAGTAGGAAGTTTTCGGGTGAATTAGTGGAACACAAAGAATTATAGTTGGAACATAGCATGAAGGAAGTTTAGATCACTCAAAGCTGTGGCATGTTAGAATCTTTGCCTGTGGAGCCTAATAAAGAAGTAGATGTCTAGGCATTAAAACAGACTAGTTGGCTTGGCGCCTGTGGCTCAAGCGGCTAAGGCGCCAGCCACATACACGTAAGGTGGCGGGTTCGAATCCAGCCCGGACCTGCCAAACAACAATGATGGCTGCAACCAAAAAATAGCCGGGCATTGTGGCGGGCGCCTGTGGTCCCGGCTATGTGGGAGGCAGAGGCAGGAGACTCACTTGAGCCCAGGAGTTGGAGGTTGCTGTGAGCAGTGAAGCCATAGCACTCTACCCAGGGGCTCCGCTTGAGGCTCTGTCTCAAAAAAAAAAAAAAACCAGACTAGTTGAATCAGAGTTTCTGAGAGTAGAATCCAGGCATCAGGGTTTTTTTTTGTTGTTGTTGTTACTTTGAATTCCCCCCTCTCCAAGCTTTAGAGGTGTTTCTAATGTATAAATACTTATCTAGAGGAATAAAGGAAGAAATAATAGAGATGAGCTAGGTCATATTATATGGGATCTTGAATGCCTATGTCATTGGTTTAAAATTTAAGAAAAGTCTGCGTAGTGCCATCCATAGCACCGTATCAGTGCCTTTTGATATATCTGATGGCCACACTTTATATAGTCGTAGAAATGAATACATGTGCTTCTCTTCTTAACCTCTTTTTTGTATTTCTCAGTTAAAGGAAATAACCTGAGTTCCTTGTGTGCTTTGAATGATGAATAAAACTCTTAAAATGGTTGTAGAATTTTGAGTATGTTTGTGTATTTCTTATGTTCAAGATTAGTATTTTGGCTGACTTATTTAACCAATGTGTCATTCATTTGCCGTACTAAAATCAGTAATAAAATTAATTTCTGATCCCTAAGTTCCTCCTAATATAATCTATAAACTTTAGTTTTCCAATAATGCAAAGCTTCATCTTTATGCTGTTGAACCTCCTTTAGGAATCTGATGCGTATTGATGAATTGACTTTCCTATTGTGAAACTTTATCACATGCTTATTTCTACAAAGAGCTAAAAGTACAGTCAAACAGACATCTCTGTTTACTGTAAGTGAGGCTTATCAGTGTTCCCTAAAACCAGATAGTTTTTCAAGGATCCTGGCTTGGTTTTAATTTGTTTTTGAATTTGAGTCTGGGTAGAAATAAACCTCATTTATAGGAGGGGACTCTAATGTTTAAACAAACTTCTGAGATATATTTTTCATGTGGAGAAGTACTGCTTTAATGTAATTAGAGATGATTAGAGCATTTATGAAGACAGTTAATTTTCTGAAAAGTACAATGAGCACTTCAGTGTAATTTTTCATCTGGAGTTAATGGAAGGTTTTCTATAGATTTGGAGGATATGGGAAGAATGGGTAGCCTTATTTCGAGTATCTTCTTAATGGTTTTAAAGCTGTGGTTATGGTTTTCTGTTTTAGAGTAATGATAATGAGGAACGATTACAAGTTGTTAAACTACTAGCAAAAATGTTTGGAGCAAAGGATTCAGAACTTGCCTCTCAAAACAAACCACTTTGGCAGTGCTACTTGGGCAGGTATATGATTTGGATTTCCTTTTTGAAGATAAAATGTTTATATCTACTTACTGTTCTTTAAACCACCATCTACATTGAAGATGTATTCTCTGAAATCATAAAATGAAATGTTTTTCATATATTGAAAATTTTGAATGTTGATAATAATTGACTGTATTTGCAATTTCCCTTTATCTTTTATTTTTATTGATTTTTAAAAGATAACATTTAAAAGCTACCTCACACAGTATTACAACTGTGAAATTAAAATGTATTATTTCAAAGTAGTGATTAATTCCAACTGAAAATACCTTTTATAGCCTCTCCATAAAAAGTTACAGTGAGATTATTTGGAAATATTCAAAGGAAAAGAGTATTCACAGAAAGAATAAAGAAATGACTACATGTGTTTCTCTTCTTTTGCCTCAGCCTCCCAAGTAGCTGGGACTACAGGCATCTGCCACAATGCCGGGCTTTTTGTTGTTGTTGTTGCTTAGCTGGCCCAGGCTGGGCTTGAACCCACCAGCCTGGGTGCATGTGGCTGGCGCCGTAACCACTGTGCTATGGGTGCTGAACCATGTGTTTTTCTTCTTAACCTCTTTTTTATTTCTCAGTTAAAGGGAATGACCTGGGTTCCTTGTGTTCTTTAAATGATGAACAAAACTATTAAAATGGTTGTAGAATTTTGAGTATGTTTATGTATATCACTTTTCTTTGAGAGGGATTCTTTTCTTTACCTTTTCCAAAGGGACCTTTGACCTTGAAAATATTAAAAGAACTACAGATTCCTTGGCTGAAATCTGCTTTGACCCTGAGAATAAAAGAGGATATTTTTTTCCCTCAAATTATCCTGGTAATAGATAATGTAGTTAAGCAAATAAGATTTAAAGATTCTGATTCTATTTTCTTTGTATTGAAGTATTTGCATTGGTATACCCACTTTTCTTTCCATTTTAATAACAACTGTTAGTGATTATGATTATAATAAACTTAATCTTTTGATCTCATTTTTTCTAACTTGTTAAATAGAGATAAAGGCTTTCATTAAGTGCATGTTAAGCTCAAAATTCCTAATCTGATGGTTTTTTTAGTTCGTATTTAGTTAGTATTTAATGAGGCAAGTTAAACTAATAAAAGCCTATTGCTATTTTGAGATTGGTTTTTAGGCTTTTTTCCTTTAAATACAATGGGAAGGTCTTAGACAACAGGGCAAAATATGTATTTTATCAGTTTAACTAAATTATGCAACTCAATATGAAGTCTGTTTTATTTAATATTTCGAAACAAAAATGTACTTTTAATATATAGACATTATATCTTTAAATTAGGACTTAGATTAGCCAGACTTCATAGGTTTATAGGGGGGAAATCAAAAGAACATATGTCATCTATTACATTGTAATTTTTCCTTTTAATGTTAAGAACATAAAACTCACAGTGTTAAATATTACCAACTTTAAGGCCTATTTTAAAACACATTTTATTTATAATGGTTATGAGGTACATGGTTTGTTGAGAAATAATAAAATATATAGGATTCAGTGCCTGGATTCAGAACACTCAGGAGACTATATTGGCATGAGTAAAATTTTACAGCATTTTTAAGGGAGAGGGATGTGTTTCATAGAGACCTGTATGAGTAGTTGTTGCTGATTTTGAAGGTTTTTTTTTTTTTTCCTCCTCTTGTACAGTGCTAAATTTTGTTTTTTACAGTATTGGATGACATAGGATTTGGGAGCCTTTTCATTTCACAGAATTAACACATGAAAATATTGAATAGAAACTCCTGGCTTTAATGTTTTGACACTTAAAAAGATTTTTTTAAATTACTGTTTCATATTTCATGATAAGCTATTATATGCAGACTGAACATCAGTGGTTGAGAAACACCTAAACATCATGTGCTTCCTGATAGAAGAATACAACACTGCATGTGGTATTATAGGAGTCTGGCAAAAATAATTGAACCTGACTTTGATGAAATGTGTAGATCTGATAACCAATTTACAAGATTTAGGAGAGGACACCTGTTAATTGACACCAGAATGATATATGTAGCAAAATCTAAACTAACACTCAACTCTGTCTCTCCCGTTGCTCCAGCAAATTACAAGGGGGGAAAGACGGAGGGAGAATGTAAGATTGAAAGAGACTTTCATTCCTGTAATTCTAGCATTCTGGGAAGTTGAGGCAGGTGGATTGCCTGAGCTCAGGAGTTCAAGAGCAAGACCCCATCTCTAAAAATAGCCAGGTGCTGTGGTGGGTGCCTATAGTCCCAGCTACTTGGGAGGCTGAGGCAAGAGAATCATTTAAGCCCAAGAGTTTGAGGTTGCTGTGAACTATGACGCCATGGCCTCTATCCAGGGCAGCAAAGTGAGACTCTGCCTCCAAACAAAAAAAGATGGAAAGAAACTTAAATGATTAAATGATAGACATATCAACCAAAGGTAACTTTTTAGAGCTATATATTAAAATATCTACAGATGTAACGCGAAAATTGGCTTTACTATTAGGGATGGTATAATAGTTGTGGTGGTTAGCTGGATAGGAATAATTCTGGTACAATTTCAGAGTTGTATAATGTAAAATAATACGGAGTTTAATGTAAGATCTGTCATTTGTGAATGCTGTGTATTTAAGCAAGAGTACTTTGAGGAAAAGTTTTCTTTCAAACACAGTTTGGGATTTTCTTTTTCTTTTTTTTATATTTTATTTTATTTTCATTTATTTATTTTTTTTGCAGTTTTTGGCTGGGGCTGGGTTTGAACCCACCACTCCTGGCATATGGGACCAGTGCCCTACCCTTTCGAGCCACAGGTGCTGCCCAGTTTGGGATTTTCTAATGTTCCTATGAACTATACAGGATGCACACAAAGTTTGTATGCAATTTATGTTAAATTGTTTTAAATTGCATACAAACTTTGTGTCCACTCTCAGTATACATGTTTGAATAAGTATATGTGTTTTGGAAGCATAGCAATTTATAGGAAATTTCCTTGTCATTCTGATTCTTTATTTTGCACCAAAAGTGTATGTTTTAAATAGCTTCCTTAAAATTACATAGTTCTCATGGGACATTGTGTTAGTTTATATAGAAGTTCCAGACCATTCATATAAAAAACTTTGTTAAAATTAAATGATCTGGCTCTACTTTGCATTTTCCTACATGAATTTTTAAAAATTTATTTAGAAAAATAAAAGGAAGTTCAGATTAATTGTATATCTAATTCTCTTATTTTTGTGTGTTTGTTTCTCTTATTTTAAAGGTTACTCTATGCCTTTGTATCTTACAGGTTTAATGATATCCATGTACCAATCCGCCTGGAATGTGTGAAATTTGCTAGCCATTGTCTCATGAACCACCCTGATTTAGCAAAGGACTTAACAGGTACAGATGCATCTCACAGCACAAATTCTTCAGTTTTATAGAGGAAAAAACCCTTTTTTGTTGTGATAGGCGAAGTCTTAGTTCATCATCATAGAAATCACTCTCTGAAGCCAGGGTTTTTACTGCGTAGTTTCTATTTAAGCTAAAAGCATTTATAAAAAAGTCTGTGTCTTTAGGAACAACATTAATTAGTTTCTTAGTTTAAGGACAATTCTAAAACTTTTCCAGGCATTGGATTTGAATAGGTCTTGATTTTGACTAGATCATAAGACTAGTGTTCTTTAATATTTTAAGAGCCGAGGTGAGAGTCAGGGAAAACTAATGGAGGTAACATTAAGTGGAGGTAACTTAAAAAAATCTGTGTTAAATATAAGGCAGGTCAGAACTTTGCATCTTTATGGTAATGAAACTGTCATATATCTATTAATGTTCCTGTTACAGTTTCTAAAACTGAAATAGTGCAGAAAGTAGAGACCAATGTAATAGTCTTCCTCACAAATGTTAGCACTTGCAATATTTACGTAGGAAATTAAAAAAAGAAATTATAGATCAACTTGAAATGTCCCTCACAAACTATTTTCCTTTGTACATTTACAGAGGGTAAATACTCTACTGAATTTGTTCTTCCTGTTATAACTATGCCACTTGTGTACCTTTCTGTAAATTATATGTAGTATTGTCATGTGTTTGAAAAATTTCATTGATTTGATACCATTTAAATTTGATGAAGTTGAACTTTTTTCTACTGTTTTATGTGTTTTTTTGTGTTTGTTCTACTTTTTTCTTGTGGGCCCAGAAGTCAACATTCTCTTTTAGTTGATGTGTTTTCAATGCATAATTAATGAAGTCTAAAGTTGATCGTAACTCTCTAAACTTTTTTCTGAGCAAAGACCCTTGAAATATTTTTTTTTTTTTTAAAGACACACTCTGACTATTGCCCTAGGTAGTGTACCATGTCCTCCTTATAGCTCACAGTAACCTCAAACTCTTGGATTCAAGAGATCCTCTTGCCTCAGCTTCCCAAGTAGCTGGGACTCCATATAGGTGCTAGCCCCCATGCCTGGCTAATTTTTCTATTTTTAGTAGAGATAGGGTCTCACTCTTGCTCAGGCTGTTCTCAAACTCCTGAGCTTAAGCAATTCACTGGCCTGGAACTCCCAGAGTGCTAGAATTACAGGCATGAACCACTGCTGGGCCAAGCCTTGAAATCTTTAACTCTTATTCTACCATCTTTTACATGATTTCAGTTATTACTTAGTATTGCACTTTTTGAAAACCTTCCCAATTGTTAGTACATTTATCTGCTTCTGCTTTACAGTCTTACTTATCTTTACTTCTTAAATATTAACTGCTGCTTCTCAGTTTTTTGGGGTTTTTTTTGGAGACAGAGCCTCAAGCTCTGGGTACAGAGTGCTGTGGCATCATAGCTCACAGCAACCTCCAACTCCTGGGCTCAAGTGAGTCTCCTGCCTCAGCCTCCCAAATAGCTGGGACCACAGGCGCCTGCCACAACGCCTGGCTACTTTTTGGTTGCAGCCGTCATTGTTGTTTGGGCTGGGGCTGGATTTGAACCTGCCACCTTAGGTGTTTGTGGCTGGCACCTTAGCCACTTGAGCCATAGGCGCCAAACCTACCTCTCAGTTTTTTCTGATAAAATCACAAAGTACAGTAAAGCCTTCATAATTGACCACCTCCTTCAATTGACCTGCTTTTCCTAGAGTGGACATGTACCACATTTACATGTCAGTACATATCCTAGTTCCTTGTTTTGACCACCTCCATATGTTGACCAGATTGTTACAGTCATTTAGGTGGTCAGCTTACAGAGGTTCCATTGTATGTCCTGTGTAATATTTTAACAATAATTTGTCATCGTAATGCCTTCAGGCTTTTTGAATTCCTGTTCATCAGATACCAGTTTCACCCTTTTTTTGGAGGAGACTTCCCAGTTGGAGCTCTCTGTCTTCCTACTAGTACCTTGAGTGCTTGACTGCTTGCTCTGAGCTTCTGCTCTACAGCATTGATCTTAGGACCATCTGTTCTTCCTTCCTTGCCTTCCCCTCCCCTTCCCTTTTCTCCCTTGCTTCTTCCCTGTTTTCCTGTGAGAGAGTCTGTTTCTTCTGCCCCACTTCTTGTAATCTATTTTCTCCTTTTTTCTTCTGGATATTCCTTTTTCTGTGGCATCATTGTCTTGGGCTATTGATGCAGTATTTTCTATAAGGGTATGAATGGTGGGGTTCTTTTTATTTTTATTTATTTATTTTTTTTTGAATGGTGGTTTTTGAGGGGAAGTTTTCTTTTAGCCCCAGAATGTCTGTTGTCCTCTAATATGTTTTTTCACCTTTTATTTGTTTTTATCTCTTGTTTTCCATGTTAGAGGCTTGGCCATCCATGGTTGTCTGCTCATGATTACAAAAGGGAGATTGAATTAAAAATGACCTAGAAAGCTCTGAGTGTTTGAATGGGTCTGTTGTGAATTTCACTTTGGGGTGATATCTAGGTTGGCTGTTCATGAGGGACCTCTTTGTATAGATAATTCCTCTTCCACCAGTCAGATTCTCCAGAGAAGAGTATCCTTATCTGGAAGTTAAAGGCTAGTTGCTGATGTCTTTAGGAAAAGGATGATGATTTTCTTTCACATTTCATGTCAGTTGTCACATAATTCCCCTTTAGAATGTTATATCCATGCCCTCAACTATATTTGTGTCCCCCAGTTTAGAGACTTTCTGGTTTACCTTTTTTTTTTTTATAGAATTCATCTCCAGACCTCTTTTGGGGTGGAATGGGAAGGCAGTAATCTACTAGATGGGTGGTTGCATTTTCTCAAACAGCTTTCACCTAGTCTCCCTCCTTTCCCTTGCCTTAAGATCTGAAAGTATGACACTTATTGCAAATTCCTGTGCTTTTTGAAAAATATGTAGTATGTCGTGTTGGTTCTCCAACTTTTCCTTTATTGGCCTGGGCTTTAGTTTTCTTGGGTTCAAAAATAGTTAGTTTGTCTCTCACTTGTTTATGCCATTGTTACGGGTTCTTGGAAGTATTTAGGTGTTGTATATCTTGATAATATTTTTAGTTATATTACTCATCTTTAAGGAGCTTAAATAATTTGAAATAGTTCAGTATGAAATAAGTGCTCACATTCCTCTTAAAATTTATCATTTTTTTTCTAGAAAATAGTTATGGTGATATAATCAGAATATTTACAATACTTAAATTCATTATAATACTTAAATATAATTACATGCTCCCTTATTTTATCTTTATGCTTTCATTTTTTTTTTTTTTTTTTTTTTGAGACAGAGCCTCAAGCTCTCCCCCTGGGTAGCGTGCCGTGGCATTACAGCTCACAGCAACCTCCAACTCCTGGGCTCAAGCGGGTCTCCTGCCTCCGCCTCCCAAGTAGCTGGGACCACAGGCGCCCGCCACAACGCCCGGCTATTTTTTGGTTGCAGCCGTCATTGTTGTTTGGCGGGTCCGGGCTGGGGATTCGAACCCGCCACCTTAGGTGTACGTGGCTGGCGCCTTAGCCGGTTGAGCTATAGGCGCCGAGCCTATGCTTTCATTTTCAATTTTGATTTTATTTTTGAGACTGTGTCACTCTGTTGCCCAGGCTAGAGTGCTGTGGCATCAGCACACAGCAACTTCAAACTCCTGAGTTCCAGCGATCCTCCTATCTCAGCTTCCTGTGTAGCTGGGACTGCAGGTTCCCCACCAAAATGCCTGGCTAATTTTTCATTTTTGATTTTGTGGTCTCACTCTTGCTTGAGCAAGTCTTGAACTAAAACGGTTTTAAATCCTGAGCTCAAGCAATCCTTCCACCTTGGCCTCCCAAAGTGTTGGGATTGCAGTTGTGAGGCACTGCATCTGGCAGTTCAATTTTGAATTTTTTAATTGAAATATTTAAATAATGTTTTTCATGTATTTAAGTGAAACTGGACCAGCAAGTACTGCTCCCCCCTTCCATATTTATTTATCAGTGCATACCACTTTGATTTATACATGGCTAAACAAAGCGTCTTTTTCTTTGAACTTGCTGTCATGTTAGGTGATGTAGACTTACATAGGGTAGGTAGAGGCAATAATGGAATTTACCTCCCGATGTATGCCTTTCCTCCCATGTTGGTATCCCGATGTATGCCTTTCCTCCCATGTTGGTATCCCGATGTATGCCTTTCCTTCCAGTGGCCCTAGAGACAATCTCATTTTGCTTTTAACTTCAACTTCTCATTGCTATAAATGAGGACTTTATCCCTTCTGTTTATCTCATTCTCTAGAAGATTCTGTCTTTTTTCTTTCTCTTCTACCTGAAATATACTAACAGATCTTCTGAAGTTTTCACTGCTAGAAAGAGTAATAAGAGTAATAAAACAGACCTTGCTTTCATTTGGAGGAAGTAGGGCTTTGATTTTTTTTCTTTCCCAATTCCTATAGCATCTTCAGTTTATTTCTTTACATGTACTGTGTCCCATTTTAAATTCTCTTGATTTCATCCCTGAACAGCAGGATCATCTCACTTTCTGCATGTAAACCTTATACTTTAGCTGGGTGTTCACCCTCATCAGACCCAGTTCTCCCTTCCCCCTTTTAAATAAATAACTTGTAATCCTTTCTTTGGTAATCTTAAAATTCATAGGTTAAATAATCTACTTAATACAATTAAAAATTCATATTATTTTAATAAGAGAAACAGAAAATTGTTTATAATAAAATAATGTATATGCAAATGTTTGGGTAT